TGTCTTTGCTCTCTCTCTCATGAAAGAATGGGAAAAATGAAAAAAAAAAAACTTTCAAAAGTTTTTTTTTTTTAAAGGAAGTGCTAAAGGGAGTTTTGGGGACAAAGAGAAATGATACTATCTGGAAACAGAGCCTCCGAAATAGGTGTGAGTTGTATAACAAAAATGCTAAATATCTAAGTAATGGATAGAGATTATAGGGAATTCCTCTGTAAGCCACACAAGTGTTTTTAAAACAAACAGAAGCAAAGTGAGTAAGAGAAATGTCTGTAAATATTTGAGTCCCTTTCATGGTAGAATTTGGGATATACAAAATGAACATGTCTACATCAGAGTTATGGGACATCAACAGAGGAAATCCTTGTAGTATGACAGGGCCAGGACACATGTCCATCCTCCAGCCAGTCCTGAGCCCGGAGACATTTGTAAGGAGAGAGGGCCCCAGAGGGGTAAAGGTAGCACCTCTCCTTCCGCTCATGGACTGTCTGGGAGCCAAGTCATTGACTGTGCACCACTGACAAAGACCCAGCCCCATTTAAAGCTTTACCTCTCCTCCACCTCTCCCACTGCTAACAGGTCCCCAAATCTGTTAGGAAACCTTCCCACCTTAAAAATACAGAGAACGCTTCAGTCATAAGTGAAACTAAAAGGGATCATGTGTAACTAATTAGGTGTCATAGTGAGAGAAAAGAAACTTTTCTCCATATCCTGGTCATTTAAAAGAAATATTACCCTCAAAAAAAAAAAAAAAAAAAAGTCTTTACCTGAGATCTGAAGTGCAAAGCATATTTATCTTGTTCAAGGCTAACCTTGCCAAGGAGATTTGAATTTAAATAAGGGCTGCTCTGGAGCCTATTAATCTCAAGGGGGTGGGAGGGGGTGGAGCAGCTGTGAAAACCAGGGCTGCTAAAAGCTATGGGTTGTACAGGAAGCAGGCCGGTGTCCATTTGGGATGGTCCATGTTTTATTGCTGTTTTTGTCTGGGTCTCTCTGCCTGATGGAGAAACCTTTGCCATTCTGAAGGGAGGCTAGCAGAGTCATTGTTTAATAGTCAAGTGGCCTTACTCCAGCTTCTACACAGAGAGAGAGAGAGAGACTCTCGGATAGGACCTAACCTCAGGCTCCTGCTTAGAGTCCTCCACTCTTCACCCTGGTCCTCTGCAAAGCTGCAAAGACCTGAATTCTTTCAAAAACCTTAATGAGGGGAACCAGCAGTTAGTGTAATGGCTATGTCGCTGGACTCCCACGTAGTCGACCGCGGTTCGTGTCCCGGACCCGGTGGCTTAAAACTCACGCCGGGCGCGTGTGCGTGCGTGCCCAAGATCCTGAGAGGAGAATGGAGGAGAAGGGATTGCGGCGTGACCATCCCCCCCGGGGGGTGATTTCTCGCTTTCTGTCTCTATGTCTCTCTCTGTCGGTCTGGCGAGCGCACGCGCCCTGCAGTGAAAATCTCTCCAAAAAAAAAAAAAAAAAAGAACCTTAATGAGCAGACCAGGAGATGGCGTGGTAGACCATAGAGTCCCAGACCTGGTGGTTTACTTTCTCACTTTCCTCTCTCTCTCTCTCTCTCTCTCTCTCTCTCTGTGTGATTAAATTAAAATAGATGAATAAATACATAAAAATAAATGAATAATTAAAGTAAATTTTTAAAAAATAATCTGAGTAAGCTTGGAAGAGTACTCTTGAGTATTAGACAGGACAACAGCCCCAGCCAACACTTTGGCTGCAGTGATTTAAGACCATGAGCAGAGGACCTAGTCAAATTGCAGAAACTCCACTTCTCACCCTGCGCCTCTCTTCTTCCCCTGCAGACCTGCTGCACTTCCACATCTGTCCACAAGGGCTCTTGGCCTCATCCTCTTGCATCCTTGGCATTCCAGGGCTCCTTTGCTTTCCCCCTCTGTGAGCACTCCTCGCTCTCCTCACTCCAGCCCTGTGCAGTCTTCCCTGCCATGCACTGCTTCATAGCACTGCCTTCTCTTCTCTTTTCTCCTTCACAGCCTAGACCCCTCTGTAGGAAGAAGCTGCAGTGCCTCCTCCCCTTTTCATTCACTTCTCAGCTGGCTTTTGCCCAACCATCCTCCATCTTACACAAAGACTCCAGTGACCTCCTCCTTCCCAAATCTACAGTCCCATGTGTTAAAAAAAGGCTCCTGAGGTTTCCGCTCCTGAATTTCCCACCAACACTCACATCCCTCATACCCAGGGTTGTACAAGTCACCCACCTATTTTGCCTACTCCCAACACAAATCTTTTTTTCCTCTTTTTTTTTTAAGTTTATTTATTTATCTCAAGAATGAGAGAGACAGAAAGAGACAGGCAGAGAAATAGCACCCCCAATAAGGGAGCCCTGTGATCCACCCCAAACTTCATCCAATTCTGTATCACAGGTACACATGTAACTTGGCCTAGCTGAAGCTGGGCGTGGATCACAGTGTCAAAAACTTGTTGAGGGGGGAACCAGCAGTTAGCGTAATGACTATGTTGCTGGACTCCCACGTAGTCGACCGCGGCTCGAGTCCTGGATCCGGTGGCTTTAAACTCACACCAGGCGCGTGTGCGTGCGTGCCCAAGATCCCGAGAGGAGAATGGAGGAGAAGGGATTGCGGCGTGACCATCCCCCTTGGGGGGTGATTTCTCACTTTCTGTCTCTATGTCTCTTTCTGTCTTTCTGGCGAGCGCACGCGCCCTATAGTGAAAAAAACCTCTCCAAAAAAATAAATAAATAAAACTTGTTGAGGGGACCAGCAGATGGTATAAGGGTTATGTCACTGGACTACTACATAGTAGACCACAGTTTGAGTCCTGGACGGAGAGGTTTAAAACTCATGCTGGGTGTATGTACAAGCATGCTCAAAATTCTGAGAGGAGAAGGGAGGCAAGGGACTGCTGCATGGCATCCCGCTGGGAGATAATTTCTGTCTCTCTGTCTCTCTGGCAAGCACATGTGCACTATAGCAAAAAACATCTCTTAAAAAAAAAATCCTGTTGGGAATGTTGTTTCTTTCTTTCTCTTTCTCTCTGTCTCTCTCTTTCTCTCTACCTTTCTCACTCAAGGGGTAAATAAACTACAAAAAAAGAAAGAAAAAGAAAGAAAGAAAGAAAGAAAGAAAGAAAGAAAGAAAGAAAGAAAGAAAGAAAGAAAAAAGAACTGTTCCAAGGATGCAGGAAGTGCTATTTTCATGGAAAAATGAAATTAAAGAATGAGTTTATTTTGATGCAAAAAGTTTTTAAATCCATAGTTTTTCATTTTTTAAAATATTATACACATTTTCTGTGAACTTTCTGACCATCGCTTGTATCTGTCAGTTTGGGGCATCGCCTGCCTGCCCTCACTTGCCATCACTCTTCTTCCCCAACAAGCAATATGCAAACACATTACCTGCCATCCACAAGAAATAGCATTTAGCTCCTGACACACACCATGGTAACTCTCATACCTCCACAATTTCATTCTTACTCCTTTTGTCGACCTGCTGAACTCCCCTTTCTCTTCTAGGACTCAGCTCAAATATCACTTCCACTGGGAAGCCTTCCCTGATACTCTAAGACTTTCCCCACAGACTCATCGTTGCATCCCAATGAACTTCCACTTAAGCATGCATCATTTCAATTAGTTAGTTTTAAAAAATAAGCGTTGCAACTTTTGAATACTTTTCTCATGCCAGAACCTGTTCTAAATACTTTACGTATCTTATCTTATTTAAGCCTCACAGTAAACCTATGATATGTTTTAGAAATTGGTTTTCATGTTTGTCATCCCTCCTTGATTGTAAACCCATGCCCTGATTATCTCTGAATCTCCAGCATCTAGCGAGTGCCTGGTGAATAGTGAGCACATTAGTTAAATTAATATCTCTTGATTGAGCCAATCAGGTATGGTCTGCACCAAGAGATGGGAGCATGCATAAATTATTGACTTGAAGGACATTTAGGAAAAGGATGGATGGTAGTTGGATCTAAAATTCATCAGTGCTATAAACAAAAGCTGCTGTAACTACCTGGCCCCATCATTAAATCGTTAAGACTACATGAACATTTTCTATAGTGCTGAGGGGTTAATATGCTCTCATTTGATTCTGCACTGTCATATAATTTCAGGTCTTTCCAAGGACATAATAATACAATTCACGATGACATTTTATTTCATGCTCTTGCTTCAAGGGTCAAAATCAAACTTCTGAAAAGTTTTATGTGGCCCTTTGCTCCTGGGTTGCCCACCTTTGTTAAAGGGCAAAGAGACAATCACCCAGACAACCTTTCTTTAAATATAGAATGGAAATTTGCCACAAAGTATAGAGAACTAGGGTCAGCAGGTGGTGTGGTGGTTAAGGGCGCTGGACTCCCACATGGCCAACCTGTTCAAGTCCCAAACCTGGTACTTGCTTTCTCACTTTCCTTCTCTCTCTGACTCTGTCCCTCTCTGGTCAAATTAAAAATAAATAAATAAAATTAAACAAAATGAGTCTTTAAAAAAAAGTATAGAGAATTATAATCAGGAGTTAATATTATAGTTTCTATGGCAATTGTGGAAGACCATCAACATGCATATATATAGCTTAATCATTACAAAGGAACAGGCTTTTTATAAATTGGAACAATATAAACAAATTCAAAGATACATATTTTGGTTTCAATTCATTTTGCTTCCTTACCCATTTCCCATTTAGTAAGTTCTGTTTCATTAGGCAGGAGAGAATGGTTAAGTTTAACACATTGATTAAAGTATCTCTGGGTGACCTTGCAGCTGATCTTAATAGGGGGTGGACAACATCCAGTCATGTAAGTGTCTCCAATGGGTGCCATTGGTAATGGAACCAATAACAAACTCAAGTCTGGATGAAGCTCCAGCAAATCTCCAGGAGCCCCCAAATTCAGTGTTATCCACTCCAGTAATCTATAGATAGAATATAAACAGGACTTGGGACCTCTTTTTTTTTTTTTTTCTTGGAGCTCTGAATGTGATAGGAAGTTTAATCTCCTGTGGTTGTGCTTCTAAGGAACTACCATTGCTGGAATGAAGCTTGGATGACAAGACCTGACCTTCCTGTTGGATTTGGGGGCTGGCAAGCTGTGGACAGCACCCCACAGGAAAACAGTGATGGTAAGACTGCATCTTCCCTCAGGGAAATTATTTCCCTGCTGATCCCTAGGGCACGGTTATTGCTGCACTGGATGTGGGAGGGGAAATGCACCCATTGGAAACCAGGGTCAGAAGTGTGCTTTCTGGACACATATACAGTGCTAACTGTCTCCCAATCAGGCTTAATTTCATCTCAACAGTCGACTTTACTCTGTTTATTTTACAACTTTTAGAGAAAGAATATAAAACTTAACATATATAATTCATCTACTCTTGCTTTGATAAGCAGTTTTCAAGACAAGAGAAAAAAAAAAATCTGTGTAAGCATTTTTTACCAGGCTATAAAATACACTTTAGCCCTCCCCGCTACTCAGAAATAAGATACAAGGCAGTAGATAAAATAGAGAACTGGAAAAATTATTATAGATCGTCTTTTAAATTGATGTTTTCCCAGAACCTGATTTCGTTTTATGTTGTGTGATTGCTGTCAAAAGTTGGGTTTGTGGGGATTTGCCAGCCCTGCTCATCAGTGGCAGCTATGACCTCTCTCAGATTTTCATAAAATCACATCATAATCCTCCGGCTCTCTTTAATAGAAAGAGATTTTCAAAAAATCAGTATACTGGGGTCATTATGTTTATTTCCTCCAGTATTAATATGAGATACTAATGTATACACATATACATGTGAGAGGTCTTTCAAAAGTTCAAGAAAAAATGCACATGAGGAAAAAGTGCATTGATTTGAAACTTCCTCTTACACAAAAATAAACTGGTACTTTGATTTCATTTTTCCCACAGACTTTTAAAAATGCCCTCCTATATCTGTAAACATTTAGTATATATTCCTAAGGAAACCATATAGCCATACTGGATTTTAAGAAAGGAAGTTCAGGGGGAACCAGCAGTTAGCATAATGGCTATGTCGCTGGACTCCCACGTAGTCGACCGCGGTTCGTGTCCCGGACCCGGTGGCTTAAAACTCACGCCGGGCGCGTGTGCATGCGTGCCCAAGATCCCGAGAGGAGAATGGAGGAGAAGGGATTGCGGCGTGACCATCCCCCCTGGGGGGTGATTTCTCGCTTTCTGTCTCTATGTCTCTCTCTGTCTGTCTGGCGAGCGCACGCGCCCTACAGTGAAAAATCTCTCCAAAAAAAAAAAAAAAAAGAAAGAAAGGAAGTTCAGCACTTTCTGATGTTCTGGATCGTATATTATGAGGAGACTTCGGAGGTGACTGATGACTAATTTCTTTTTAACTATGGATAGGTGGTTAAAATTTAAAGAATTTTTTTAAAAAGTAAAACCTGGGCCTGCTGACTTCCCGAATGCAGATTGAGCACTAGCCAATGCTCATGTCCAAATTCTCCCTTTACATGTTGTAACAGACACGTGGTCCTAATGCCCCACGACAAACAAACAAAAAATCGCAGCAAATAAACATCAATAGCTGCAACATAACCACTGAAGACAGGTGAGAATTGCCATGTCAGTTACCAGTTGAAAAAGAGCAATGCCTTACACCACCAGCTTGGAAGAGACCACTTGGATATGTGTTTGTAGCTGCTGGTGTAAATGTAGGAGCTGTGATATACATATTGCTACAGTTAGTGGTAGGAAGCTTTTTCCTAGTAGGTGTTTAAGTTGATCGTATTGAAATTGTGGTGTTGCACCATATTTTTTTTGTTGGTTTTGAAATTTGGTTTGTGGAGGCATTTCCAACAGAAGTCTTTTGGTTACATATGTTGGTCACCTGTTCTCTCTAGCCGTGGGAAGTGTTTGGGTTAAAAAGCAATGAGGCAGTGGGAAACACTGGTCTCTAGAAAGCCAGCTTCAGTGCTCTAAGTGGCCCCAGTGTCTGGACAGAATTGGAGACAACCAGTTCATGCTGCCCTTCCTCTGTGTGATGCAGGCATGTATCGGTGTGGCCCTGCCTCGGTTCAAGCCATTAAACACGGTCATGTCTGCTTCCAGTTTGATGCACCCTTTGTTTTTGCAGAGGTAAGTGGAAGGCTGGAAGAGAAGTGCCATTTTGCTCCCCAACCTCTTAACACGTGAAAGAATAAGATATGTGATTGTTACTTGCAAATTTCCCAGGTACACAGTGTATGCTTCATTTTGACAAAATTAAGTGGGCATCATGCCAGTCTCCAAGCTCTGAGTGATAAGTGCAGTTGTTACTTCACATTTTTCTTTCCTTGCTGTTTTGAGATTTTATTTCCCCCCTAAAGCAAGTGCTTTACTAACCTTCGCTAAATTCTCTGCACCCACGATGGGTCAGCTACTCCAAAGAAATCAAGTGACTCACTAGATTACTTGACTACGACATGGTGGAGACAGCCTATGCTTTGAAATTTCACAGTGTACTACTTTATTCTGAGACTAGCCCAGCAATCTACATGAATCAAAATCCACACACCCTTCCCCCTGCTGACTATAGGGACATGGTACTTTATACCCTGCCATGCCAGGCCACCCCCTGGAGCTAGAGAGGGAGAGTGGAGCTGCCAGAGCAGAAAGGGATCTTGAGAAACTCAGCCCACCTACTGGGTGGAAGGGTATTCGGGTGAGGGGGGGTCTGAAATTCTGGAAGAACCACATGGGATCTAGAATCAGAAGAGACTGTTCAAAGATTGCTAGGAAGATCAAATTAAATGTAAGAGGTGAAGAGTTAAGAAGAAGGCTGGGTGACTGCTGGGAATGGGAGAGGACAGTATGGGAAAGATTGGGAGGTAGCGTGACCTGCCACCTCAAATTAGCTGCTTCTTCTAGTGGTTAATGAAACAAGAGGCAGAGACTGGATAGCAGGAAGTTGATTGCTTTCTTTCTTTTCCTTTCTTTCCTTCTTTCTTTTTTTAGAGAGAGATTTTTGCTATAGGATGCATGTGCTCACTGGAGAGACAGAAAGAGACAGAGAGACAAAAAGCAAGAAATCAACCCCCAAGGGGGATGGCCATGCCACAATCCTTTCTCCTCCATTCTCCTCTTGGGATTTTGGGCACGCACACATACGCACCCAACATGAATATTTTTTAAGCTGCCAGGTCTGGGACTCGAATCACAGTTGACTACTTAGGAGTCCAGCGATGTAACCATTATGCCATCTACTGGTCCCAGGAGTTGATTTCAGTAGCCAGTTACAGGGAGACAGTTAGCAAGCAAATTTCAAGTTGTCTCCAAAAGGTTGACCTGTTCTCAATGTTTATAGGTACAAGATATCAACACGTGTGAATCATTCATTACTACACTCAGTCAGAATCAATCACTTTCCCCTGAGTAACTGTTCTGCTTCCTGTTTTACTTCAAATACCCACTCATGATTTCTCATCTGACTATTCCTCAAGCATCACTCTCTGAGTCTGCACTTGGTCAGATTATTCTTGTTAGAGGACTTTCTTTTTTTTTGTAAGAGAGGTGGGTTTTTTGTTTGTTTGGTCTTATTTGTTTTTATTTATTTATTTATTTTTTGCTATAGAGCATGCACACTCACCAGAGAGATAGAGAAAGAGAGACAGAAAGTGAGAAATCACTCGCCCAGTTGGGAGGGCCACTCCACAGTCCTTTCTCCTCTAATCTCCTCTCAGGATTTTGGGCATGCACGCATATGTGCTCAGTGTGAGCATTAAGCCACCAGGTCTGGAACTTGAACCCTGGTCAACCACATGTGAGTCTGGAGATGTAACCATTATGCCATCTGTTGGTCACAACTTTTCTTGATTTCAAAATGGCTGCAGTCCTCGTGAACCTTAAGCTGGCCTGCTTCAGGAGGATTTCTTCAGAGTATGTTAACACTGATCAACACATTGGAATGATGATGTCTACATATATTGAGTTTTTACTATGTAATCACCTATTCTACCATTTGATGCCTTTAGTCATCCTTTAAAATGTGAATTTTAGGGCCAGTCTGTGGTTTGGTAGTCATCGTTGCTAGATCTTGCAGGGCTAGCTGCATGATTTGAATCCCAGAATTAAGCAACTTGAAAAACATGTTGGGTGTGTGTTCATGAGTGCATACAATCATGGAAGAAGGAAGAAGTGGAGAAGGGACTGCAGTGTGACCATACTTCACGGAGGGCGCTTTCTCCCTCTTTCTCTCTGTCTCAGTCTCTCTCTGGCAAGTACGTGCACCCTCTGGCTAAATAAACAAATAAATAAAATGGGAATTTTAATTCTTTCTGAAAAGGAAATTGAGGCAAAGAGTAGTTAAATAATCTTTCCACAGTCATCTAACTAGTAAAGAGTGGTGCTAAGATTTGAAGCCAGGTAGTCATGAGCTCATGCTGCTAACCACTGTACTCTACCACTGTAGGAGTAAATATTTATTGTTAGTATAAATCAGGCACTATGCTGTGATAGTTTAGAGGATAATGTTCTAAGAATCTTTTTTTTTTTTTTAAGAGAGATTTTTGCTATAGGGCACATGCATTTGCCAGAGAGACAGAGTGAAACAGAGAAGCAGAAAGTGAGAAATCACCCCTAGGGAAGATGGCCACCCCACAATACCTTCTGCTCCATTCTCCCGTTGGGATTTTAGGCATGTGCACACATGCACCTGGTGTGAATTTTAAGTCATCGATGTGGGACTCGAACCATGGTTGGTTAATTGGGAGTCCTGCAATGTAACTATTACGCCATCTGCTGGTACAATGTCCCTAAGAATCTTAAGCTAGATGGAACTGTCAGACAAGAAGTGTGACAACACATGATCTGTATTTATACGTGCAGATTTTTTTTTTAGAGGTTTTTGCTATAGGGCACATGTGATTCCCAGAAAGACAGAGAGAGACAGAGAGACAGAAAGCAAGAAATCACTCTCTGGGGGGGATGGCCACACCACAATCCCTTCTTCTCCAATCTTTTCCCTCAACTTCTTCTCTGACTCGCTATCTGCACCCCTGCTAATCCTAACCACCTTTTGGGATCTTGGGCACACACACACACACACACACATACACACACACCTGGCATGAGTTTAAGCCACTGAGTCCAGGACCCAAACCGCAGTTGACTACATGGGAGTCCAGTGACATAGCCATTTCGCCATCTGTTGATCCCAAGATTTTTTAACTTGGAAATATAAGCCAGAAACTAAAGTAGCACAGTAAAGACCACAAGACCTCATGTAGGGAGGGGGGACAGCCTGGGAACAGACAGTGACATACCCTGTGTGAGTGTAGCCCTTACCATGAGCTATGGGCCAGAAAAGGGGGGAAGATGAGTCAAAGGGGTTGGAAAGAAGCAGAGCAAGGAAGGAATTTTAGGCAAAGAGGATGACTTAAACATCATGGAGATTTGGAGTGAGCAGATTCACTGATCAGGGGTCTCAGAGTTGAAGGTGGAAGGAGTTCAGCATGGGGCACTGCACGTCCTGAGAAATGCATCCTTTGTCCCCTCGGTGATGGCGCGTTATCACTGGGGAGGGGAATAAGCCAGGGGGCGGGCAGTCTTGGGGGACACAGATTGGAGGTGCTTGTCATGGCGGTGAAGATACCAAGCAGAGGGCTTGGCCAGCCCACCATGCCAGAGATGGAAAGGGCCTGAACCAAACAAATGGTAACAGCCAGGGAAGGAAGAAACAGGGTTGAGAAATACTTAGCAAGTACAACAAGGTCAGTATTCAGACAGCAAAATCAGAGATTGGAAATGCACCAAAAGAATTGTGCTTCTTTCACGTTACCTGCCAATGCAGTTTCTAGAAGCCTTGGAGACAGGCTTACTGTACTTGGCATCTTATCCCTCTTGATTTCACTCTGGGATTTGAATATGCATGCAAACCTCCCCAGGTGCCATGCGATAGTTTACGATGCTGTGAGACCCTCTTCATGGGAAATTGCTCTAACATCCACAAAACTGTGTTTATATCTTTACTATGCTTTCTTGCTGCACAGGAAGAGAGAGGAAGGACCTCCCTTCACAAGTGAACTGCCTAATAGCTGTTAATGTGAACGCTTTTTGCTATTATTAAATATAGATCGGGGTGTTATGAATACCATCAGGATTTGCAGATTATAATTACTCCTCTCTCACCCACTGCAGAGGCTTGTCTGACAGAGGGTACAATTTGTTGCTTTGGCACAGGCTGAGCTCCAGGGCTGAGCCACTTAGAAGAGATGTTCGAACTGATGAAAAGTGTATGAGGAATCTTTTCTCAAGGGTGCCTAAAGTGGGAGCCGTGGGGGGCGTGGCATGTAACTTTAATGAGCGTCGACATGACTCAGGTCTGAGGCTGCGGGCTCTCTTCCTGTCCCTCCTCCTTGCTGCGTCAGCTTGCCTGTCACTACCCAGGGCTCTCTGCAGGCATTTGCCCTTGTTTGCCTCTCAGCTTGCTGACTTTCTTGGTAATTCTTTACTCATTTCCGGTGAGATCAAGCATCATGTTCACTGACTTGCCTAGTTTTCCTAGGGACTTGGTCTTCCTTGAGTGAAAATAGAACTTAAAAGAAGAGAGGAGAGCATGGAAACCGTGCCATGCCCTCTGTCTCTTTCCACGTAGGAAATTTACTTTTCACATTTCTAGATTTCTTTTCTTTTTGTTCTTTCTTTCTTTTTTTTTTTTAAGAGAGAGATTTTTGCTATAGAGCAAGTGTGTTCGCCAGAGAGACAGAGAGACAGAAAGTAAGAACTCACCCCCCGCCCTAGAGGTAATGGTCATGCTTCAATCCCTTCTCCATTCTCCTCTTGGGATATTGGGCACACACATACACACACGTGCGCCCAGCGTAAGTTTCGAACCACCCAGTCCAGGACTTGATCCACAGTCAACTATGTTGGAGTCCAACAACATAACTATTATGCCATCTGCTAGTCCCTGGTTTCTTTGCTTTTAATTTTTATTTCTTCCATGAAAGGGGCAGAGAGAAGAGAAGGCGAGAGAAAGACAGGCAGTTTCAAGGGGTCTTCATGCCATTATGCACACCCAGCCTCAGCAAGCCAAGACTGTGGGCATGTGTATACACCCAGAACATGGACCAAGGCCCCAGAAGGAGAGACCAGGATTT